GTTCATTTTTCTCTTTTTTCAGCAAAAAGTCCATAAGGGGTTTCCAGTCACTGATAAATGTTGTTATTGATCTTTCTCTAATCAAAAGTATCAGCAAATTTCCGAGCATCATGCGAGAAATTTACAACAGATGAATACAACTAATGTACTAGGTTTAAGAGCAAAGATAATAATAAAAAAAAAAAAGAACAATTGCACCATTTAAGAGTACACACTGAAAACAAAGTAAGCAGCAATATAATGAACATGCAAAATAACTGGGGGGCGGGGGGAGCAAAGAAAAAAAAATACTAATTAAGTATTTCAGCTTCTATGCCACTCTGTTTCAAAAGACTCCGTAGCTTACAAATAAAAAACATAAAATTAAAATATAAAAAAGGCAATAATAGAATGGCACATCCTTCCTGGTATAACATCTTTTGGGCATCCCCAAAAGCTTCAAGCTTCCCCAATGCTTCCTGAAGACCTATGTTTTCACAGCTCTTCAAAAATGTAATAGGGAGATGGTCCAAATATCAGGGGCCAAGCTGTTTCAGACGGGGGAGCATCATTGAGACAGCTTGAGCACAGGATCCCCCAGATTTGAGACCCTCAACAAATATAAGTAATCTCGTGACATTTAGGGCTTTAAAGATAATTATCTGATTTGAGAAATCTGTTAGAAATGCCCAAGGGCTGATACAAATGAAAATCACATCCTTGAAAAACCCAGTTTGCCACTAGTTTTCAAAGGCACCCCATATCAAGATGATCCCTGCAATCTAATACACTAATTTGCCTGCATTTTTTTACCAGCTCCCATTCATTTTAATGAAAGACACTTTACCTGCAAAATCTATTTTGAAGAAATTCTCATGGGTAGAGGGTGGTGCTCTTGCACTTATTTACAAGGATGAATGTGGTTTTTTTCCTCCATTGTATAACCATCTAACAATCTCCAGCTTCTCTGGTTTTCCATGCTCTCAATGAATCCCAAGTAAAGATGTCATGAGGGAACATTTTCCCCTCAGCGTTTTTTTCAGCCAGGGAGACGTAGTGCCTTCCACCCCTCTAACAATAAAGTAAGCTCATCACACAAGAAAAATGTGGGGGGAAAAATTGTCAAGCATTCTGAGAATAAGAATGGTCTCTTGGATGGGAAGAACATTTTTAAGAAACTGCAAGTGTTTTGAATCTAGTATCTATGTGACCATGCTTAAACTAAGCAAATGTATGGTTCTCCATTGAAAACTTCCCATTGCATATATTCATCTAGTTGATACTGAAAAGCTAAGCAAAGTCAGATCTACTTAGAATTTAGATGGGAGACCACTATAAAGTAACAGAGCTTAGGCTAGACTGGGATGTCAAAAATACACCCTGGATGAAGGCAATGGTAAAACGGTTCTATACTGTTGCCTGGAAAACCACATAAATATATCCATGAGATTAGC